CGTTGGTTTTTGGTACTGCTACTTTTCCTTAGAACCGGTGGTAGCAGTAAGAATCATTTTTCACATCACTATTTACAACTATAGCTATCGTTAGTGCTGCACCTTATTTCTTATTAAATTTAATTGATGTCTTGCAGTATAATTTTTGCGTTTTCTGTCTGGATTCCAAAATGTTAGTTTATGCTATGAATATGATAAAACATTAGTGAACGATTTTTTTAGCAAACCATCATGAATTTTTAAAGCTTGGCGTTGTCAACGTATAAATGTTTTGTGGACTATGTATTTATTGACTTATTACATTATATATAAGCCCCTTTTATATTTGCCAACAGATTTACACCAATTTTACAGTTTGATTAGGCCTAAAACGATTATCAAAAAATTTGATGACACCATAAAAACTTGCAAATAATTATTTTGTTTGTAATTTACTTTGGTTAAAGCGTAGCAAATCCTTAATGTTGTAATCCTTAATCCTTAATCTGTAATGTGTATTCAATTCTGTATTTGTGTGTGTATGTCTGTTGGTTATTAACAATGTCCTTATTTCTCAGCGTTTCGTGGAAAAGACAAGAGCACCTTTTTTAATGAAAATTTCAACCCAAATAAAGTGTGCAGTTAGTAGTGAGGTTGAGGTAGTATTTTAACTACTTTTAACCAGTGTGAAAAGTGACTTTCAGTTATAGGCCCACCTTAGGGCTATGCCTCATAGATCTATAGAGCAATTTCTTTTATCATTAGATATAAAATATGGACTAACTCGATCGGGTGACATTTAATTGCGAAGCATTCGTTTTGGCTTTAAAACTGTCAGATATTGTATTTGCGAAGGTTTATATGTATTCCTGTACAGTAAAAGTTTTGCCAGCATATCTGGAAAAATGCACACTAAATATGCAAACCAACTCCTGTTCTGAATAATAGGTTTCAACTTACTACAAGATTCCCGTACGTAGAACGGGCAAACAGCTAGTTATATCTATTATTACAGAGGAATTAAAATGTTCAAATGAGAAATAAAAAATTAAGTTTGCTCACGACCTTTAAGAATAAAGACACAACAGAGCAATTGCCGCACTGCCACTAGCCAGAGCCAGTCTAGTCGTCTACTGACAAGATAAAAGCTGTGACGCAACAGTGCAAAGAAAACAAAGTCAAAAGAAAGACTATTTATCCAGAGGTACCAGTTTATTTATTTATTGTTTAGACTATTCCATACCTAGTTAAAAATATATTTTAGTATTTTACATAACAAATTATAAACAAAAGAAATATCTGATCTAGTGTATACAGATCGGTATCTTCTTCTTTTATTTTCTTATTTTCTTTTTTCTCATTCAGTAACAACACTAGTGATCGTCTGGTTCGGCATCAGCAAGTAAGTCAACAAAGTGGTTAGGCCTAAATGTTTTATAATTTTATGAAAGTTATCATCAGTAATTTTTCCTTAAGTTGGATGGGATTTCAAAAAGATATTTCTAAGATCCAATACAATTTTTACAACTCACAAATTACAATGAATTAATTTCTTTAAAAATGATCTGTAACAGTTTTATGTTTTTGAATAAAGAAATATATTTCGTTGTCCCTACTTCCTTGTTTCGTCACTTTCATTTTGTCAGCAATTGAAGCAACCGGGTGGTGTAAGAGGGGAGGGGGAGGGTCTATGACCTTGAGTGCACACATCGTTGCCCCGGCCTGGCTGGTGAGTGTTTCATTGTTTTTTATTTACATACTAACCTACCCTTCCTTCCGAGAAAAATACCCTGCTGTTCCAAAAACATTGACGGTAGTTTAAAAACGTTGACCTGTGTTGCTAAGGGCGCTAGTGACTCTGCTTATGTTGCCAAGTTAGCATTTAACTTTCTTTTCTCTTGATTTAATATAATCGTAATCTTCTATTTAAGAGTTACTTTACGGGTACCTAATTAATTGTGATATTGTTTGACTTGATTTTATGGATTTTAAATTATTTTCATTCGTTAGCTATCAAAATCTGTTGTTTTAGTATTTTTATCTCTAGCAGTAGGTCTACTGAATGACAAGATATGCATTTTTTACAGTCCTTACTAATTATACCATAAACAATGTGTGCGTGTTATTTACTGTTTTTGAGTTTGATAGTAAATTAGTTTACACAATATCTTTTCTTCAATGAGTTCTCTACTTGACATGTTGCTTAGCCTATTAATATTTTAGGCCCTATAAAAAATAATGCCTATGTAAAGCTGTAGGCCTACTGATGTCAATAATAGATAATTCTTTATTTACGGTGATGTAACAAATAATTATATTGTAAGTGTGAGGTTATTATACTTAGGAGGTTAGGAGGCAGAGAATAAATGATACTTTGCATGGTGAAAACATATTATTTTTATTTTCTTCTTGCTTACGGTCTTGAAGCCAGTCCACAGGCCTTAAACTTTCGATATGTTAATTGATTTGTTTATGGTCTTTTTATATTAAGTTCCATTCAAATTTGTTGCAATTTAGCTACCTATTTTCTATTTAGTTATTTCAACAGTTATTAAAATGAAAATCAATGTCTTGATAAAAAAAAAATATTTTCTTCTTTCTTGCAGTTGAGGCAATTAGCTGTAAATAAGTTATGAATATGAAATAATATACATAAAAACAATTTTTTCATATTTTATTATGAAGTAATATTATAAAAACAGATACGAGTTAAAACAAAAAAATATCCGGTAGTTAATGATTTTTGGCCCGACCCGATTTTGGCCCGAAACCCGAGGGCCAGAATTATCAGCCCGACCCGACCCAAAAAAGTCTGACCCGCAGACCCCTAGGAGAACCTGGACTAGCAAGATCTATTCTGCTCTTTGAGCACTGTTTATAAGGAGAAAATGGACTAGCAAGATCTATTCTGCTCTTTGAGTAATATTTATAAGGAGAACCTGGACTAGCGAGATCTATTCTGCTTTTTGAGTACTGTTTATAAGGAGAACCTGGACTAGCAAGATCTATTCTGCTCTTTGAGTAATGTTTATAAGGAGAACCTGGACTAGCGAGATCTATTCTGCTCTTTGAGTACTGTTTATAAGGAGAACCTGGTTTAGCAAGATCTATTCTGCTCTTTGAGCACTGTTTATAAGGAGAACCTGGACTAGCAAGATCTATTCTGCTCTTGGAGTACTGTTTATAAGGAGAACCTGGTATAGCAAGATCTATTCTGCTCTTTGAGTACTGTGTATAAGGAGAATCTGGACTAGCAAGATCTATTCTTCTCTTGGAGTACTGTTTATAGGGAGAACCTAGACTAGCAAGATCTATTCTGCTCTTGGAGTACTGTTTATAAGGAGAACCTGGACTAGCAAGATCTATTCTGCTCTTGGAGTACAGATGAATGATAGATTTATCATGTAGGGGGTGCACTGGGGTGCAGAGTTTCAGACAACGAATCACATAACGTAGTCAATGGCTGCCCTTGTTTATAGTACAGGATTTCAAATGGATTGGGGCCTTAGTTTTAGCTTGATAAAGGAAATTTTTATTTTATTTAATTCTATAATTAATTTCACGACAAATCAATACAAGTATATTGTAGAGAAGGTTATTCTTTATAGTTTGAAATATCTCTGGTAGCTGACTGTTCAAAGAAACCAAAAAAGAAATCATTTATTCATTTTCTTTAAATAGCTAGGCAATTAGGCATACTTATTTATAACATTACCAGTAGCCTAACAGTTTTTTTATAAAATTATTACTTTAAACTTTAAATGGTCTCAATACTGAAATTAGTCAGTTTTAATCCAAATATTCAAAATTCAAACAATGTAGCTATTTTTTTATTAAGAGCGCAAAGTACGTCATTGCCACTCAAGAACTGCAGATGGGCGCACAAAGGTTTAGCTGAGTGCGGCCATACATTTCGAGAGCAGCAATGGCTGTTTATGCTCATAATACACACAAGATTTTTCCTACCACCATAATTAACTTATCATAACACACAGACGACTTATACACATAACTTGTCATGTGGACAAGACAGGACAAAAATTAATCTATCACTACACTACAATAGTTTGATCTGTTAATAGGTGGTGGAGTTTTGAGTTAATAACTGAAATCAACCAATAAATTTTATAGATTCATTACCGGATGTTAGTGTTATATAGAAATGCCAACTGTGAAATAAGCTAATTTAGTGACTGGGAATATTCAAATGCAAGTCAGAATGAATAAAGCAGAAATGAGCTATTTTGCAAACTGTTTACATGTGTGTCAATGTGATCATTTCCATGCAATGTTAGGAAAAAGTAGTAAGGAGTGGTGAAAAATGTAGTAGATCTAAAATTGATGTTTTTAAAATGAATGTAAAATACTGTACTTTATCAGGGAGTCCGGTCTGTCCTGCGTCCAATTAAAATAAATAACATTCAAGGACGATTCCAGGTTTTCTAAGTTCAAAATTCAAATTTTCCAGGACAAAACTTGCCGCTCTAAATAAGCAAAACTTGTTTGTACCAGTTATGGTAATAACATAGACTAACCAACACAAGTAGACTTCTCATCCCATTGTAAATTTTGAAGCTCGTTTTTCATGTCCAGTTCATGTGCGCCACGCTGGGCGCTAGTGCCGACGAAATTTTGTTTCTATTATTTTAAGGTTAATTTCTTGATTTGTGCTTTACTGTTTGGTTAAATAACTAGGGGACAATTTATTGTTTATGATTAGATCGTATTATTTGGTTAAACGAGGTTTTAAATGACTGTATTAACGGGAAACAAATTGTAAACAAAACACGACCTCTACAGAAAACCGTACAGAACTAACAATAAAATTGGCTTCAGCTGTTCCATAAGGATGGGAAATCTACTAAGGGAGTATGTTTTATCTATGGTAATAATCATTAACTTACACATTTATGTAAGTATTAAAAAAGTATTGTCTAAAACAGTATAAATCAAGAATTTAAATATTATACCTTAAGGATAAAGTAGTAGGCTATATTTATAGGTACAGGATAAATACTCACAAACTAACTTGGTGTAAAAATCTGCTTTCTGATGATTTTCAGATCTCAACATGTTGGTTACTTTGAAGAAAAGTGCTTCAAATTTTAGTAGAGTATTTAAACATTCTTTCAACATGTCTTTCCTTGATTGTGCAACTTCTGATACAAGCAGAAAACTACTAGTGAGGCAGTATATGTAAAGACATTTTCCAGCATTCAAATGCTGTAATGTATTACACAAGTTAAGTATCATTTCCAAGAAAGGTCCCAGACACACATTGAGAAGAGTGGATGATTTGATTGTTTTATGAAGATTTAAATTGGAAATAAAAGAAATCATCAATGCACCAGCCTCCTTGATAAAGTCTCTCTTGTCTTTGGCACTTTTCAACTTTTCAAGGGTTGCATTTACATTTTGGATAGTTTTCATGGCAACAACCTCGGACTGACAAGATATAAACAATTTTGCTTGACAAAGCAAATAAAAACATCCTCCGTGAAGAATACTTTCTTCTCCAAACTTATACATATTTTTGTCCACGTATGACAGCACCAGATCTATGGCAGAGGCATAACCTTTTAGTTCCAGTTGGCAATTGAATAGAGACAACAGTAGTTTGAACATCAGAGACAATGATGAATCTACATCCTTTATTGTCTTCACCTCAAAAAACAGCTGCAGACCCTTACAAATCAAATACACCACTGCTGCTTTGTTGTCATCTCTTGCAATCATCTGACTTGCGTACAGAACAGATTCCAAATATGCTGATCCGTTTTTCAATTCATTATCTTCAGTGTGTAAATTCAAATACAAAGATAAGCATTCTTTAACTAAAGTCTGATTAATTTTTGAAACTTTGTCAATAACCAAGCTAGGGAGTGCTTTCTTCAGTAGTAATATGCAGTTATCAAATACTTTACCATCATCATCTTCAAAGCAACTTGTGTTAGTTTGTTTGGCTTCTAAAATTATTTTGTAAATCTTTTTCATGCACAGAAGATGATTCTGCAACAAAATATTTAAAAATAAGATATAGCCTTATAATACCATACAAAAGACATGTTAGGAATAAAAGTTCAAAATAAGAGGTGTAAACAGAGAAAAACCCCCCGCCGCAGCAAACCTGCAGACTAAGCGAATTTCCATTTGCCTGATTGGATTTACAATGAAATATATCCTAAAAAATATCACATTTAATCCCTATCTAAATAGCATTATTTTAACAAGTATTTAGGTTTGCTGCAACAGGGAGGGTAAAAAGTGTGTGTTTTTTTTTTTTTGTGAAATGTTAATAGTTCAGTATAAAATAAATGCATTTTCCAAATTTGATCAAAATATACAAAACAAACAGTCAAACCATAAACAGTCAATACAAAAGTTCATTTATTCTCCATAAGAATAACATGGGAATTTTAAAATGACAATTTTTTGGAATTTTCTCTGTAAGCATTAGGCGCATGATAACACTTCAACATACTAAATTATTTGCTTTTTAAGCTCTACAAAATGGTTGTAAAAGAAATTGCAAAAAAAGAGGAAATCTAGATTCAAAGAACACATTCAAGCTCTTAAGAGTAACAACAGAACATCCATGAAATCAAACTTTGCTGAACACCATTTATCGACTAACCACAATTACACAAATTTAAAAACAACATGAAAATTCTAAAAGTTTTAAACAAAGGAAATCGAATGGATTCAACTATAATATTTCATACACGAAGAAAATATAAAAAAACCAAATCATATTTTAAATAGCCAAATTCCTTCAAGAAACCCAATCTTTGATTAAATTTTAGAATTAAATAATCAGTAAAAAAAAAGTTTTCCAAATCCTGTCTAATTCTAAATCAAAATCAGATAATGAAAATAATCCTAATCTAGTAAATTCGAATATAGAATCCCAACTCAGATCTATTTACAGGAAGTTTGAATATCAAATCAGAACCCGAATCTCTTTCCGGTAAATTCGAATATAGATTCCGAATCCAGTTAGAAACAGTACATTCGTACTCGAATCTGAATTGAATCTCTAAAAAGATTCGGATTCGATTCGTTTTTCGAACTATTCGCACAGCCCTGCAATATGGGAATGACTCTTAGAAAAAACATCAAATCATATTGGGACACTAGAAAAACAGAACAAATACAATTTTTTTAAACACCATGGGGGTAAATAGGTTTTTACTCATAAGCAGTTTCTTGTATTTGACATCGGCCTGCCCTGTTGAGAGGGGTCAGCCTGGACATGTCCATTGGATAAAATACTTTGTGTACCAAATCAGGAACTCTCTATCGACAAAAGTGTAGTAGGAACAAAGAACCGATGCATTCAATATGCCGAATAAGAAGCACAAACAATACGGAATTAAAAAATTCAAACTTTGCGAAAGTGCAACCAATTATGTAATGCACATAGAACTATACAGTGGAACTGATTACCTTGCTGGGTACTTTCCTGTTAAAGGGAACATTCTTTATTATCGATGATTTTATTCTCGATATATCGATACAGTATTAGCAAATTGAAACATATCAGCTGACAACTACGATGAATAAATATTGTTCAGAAGCAACAAACAATAATTAAAAAAATATTAAAATGAAACTGTTCTAAACCAATCAAAAAAACTACCAAACTTGCTGTAACATTTAAAAACTCTGTTTATTATTCTCCACTCGCCTTTTTTGTTGTAAAACAGAATTTTTAAATGGTACAGCAAGTTTGATTGGTTAAGTTAAATTAGCTTAGGATAGTTTCATTTCTAAACTCCAATGTATGTTTGTTTGTATGTACGTATGTTTGTTTGTTTGTCCTTTATGGACTCCGAAACCGCTCGACAGATTGTAATGAAACTTTCAGACATTATTAAGCATTATTCAAGGATGGTTTGTGTGAAGTTTGGTGCAGATCCGTCAAAAGGGCTCCGCCCTAGTGGCTCTGGAATTTCCCATGTTAACCTTTAGAGTACTCATATTTAAATGGAATTAAAGAATCTTAACAGCTGGTTCAACTAATCAATTTGATTCTGTGATGTTCAATAGCATTAAAAAGTTACCGTAATAGGTTTACCAACAGGGTGCAGCTCAATTATTATTTTTTTAATTTATGACAACAGCTAATTTGAAAACCAAAAGGTGAGTGAGCGTAGCGAACGAACTTCAAACTGGAGGCGAGTTAGCGCAGCAAACGAGCTCCAACCTAAAGGTGAGTGAGCGTAGCAAACGAACTTCATAATTCATATAATAGACTATATTTTAGCCTAAAGATCAGCTGTCAATTTGTAATGTATCGTAAAGGAAAACAAATTTATCGATATATCGAAAAAAAATCATCGATTATAATGAATGTTCCCTTTAACAGGAAAGTACCCCTTGCTGAAACTAATCATGATGAAGAATTATTTACTGAGTGGGTAGTAAAGAACTTGATTGAAAAATTTTCATTGTTTAACAAAGGATATCATCATATCATGTCTTTACAGACAATTTTTATACAAAAACTAGCGGAATACCCGAGCTTTGCTACAGAAACTTTAAAATTGGTTGAAATTTTAAATAAATTAGTGTTTAAGTGCCAACAACCTTCAATCAACAATTCAGCTACAACCTGCTTTGCTCCAAACGATGTCATCAAGCAGCTATTATAATGTCTCACCCGGTCCATAAAGTGTGTATGCTCAGGGTGGTTGCCCATGACCAGACTGGATAAAGGTTCAGGTAGGTGCTGCAAAGGTAGTGCCGTCAAAGTGCCCGCTAGACAGGGATTGTGTGAATCCAAGTCTTTTCACGGGATTACGTTCATCACCAAACGTTACATATAATTCCCCATTCCGATAAACGTCGAAAACAAATAGGAATAGTTGTGAAGCCGCAACCAGTTCACACAACCCACCAAAGGTCCATCATAGGCTTAGACATTTCATTGAAGTATTCCCTGGAATTAAGGTAATTATTCCCGCCACTGTCGTGGGATAAGTAAGTAGTCCCAGTTCCTCACAACATGTTCAACAATTGCTTCGCGCACAGTTAGTGTGTGTATGTATGTATGTAAGGTAAATTATGAATGAGAGTGAAGTAAATAAACCCGCACCATCTCCTCTGATGTAAATGATATTGTGTGGAAAGAACTCGTCATTAACATTTAAAACCTCGGTGTCCTTTGTCCATACTATGTATGAAACGGTTCAAACAACTACAAAAATATTAACAGAACTATGTCATAAGATCTTAAAAATTTAAATGCAATAAAAAACTAAGTTCAATTCTACTTTCTTTAACACTAATCACAACTATTATCCAACAGTCCTAAATTGAATGTGAAATCTTAAGGCGGCTGTTGGAGAGCACACTTAAACCCACGGAAAGGTTAAACACGGAAGGGTGCTTGCTGTATTCGGCTATCAACGACAATAGTATTATTTGTATTTCGTTCGCGTCTACCAGTTAAAGTTCGTCGGCCTCCTCCTATTTTCCGTCCTGGTCAACGTCTTATAGTCTCCATTATGTTAACCGTTTTTTTTGTTATGTTTTGATTTTGTGCAAAATTTTAGTGTAACCAGCTGTTTCAAATATTAGAGTCAATTTCAAAGTATTCATCTGTTCATATGTAAACAAACATTTTCTCCCTAAGAATAACATGGGAACTTTGAAGGCCACTGGAGCAGAGCCCTGATGGAATTCCAAAGTTTTTTTGTTTGATGGCAAAACTACATACTAAGACCTTTCTAACGACACCTTGGGCATGGTGATCGGTAGCACCACCACTCCAAAACAATTATGACAAAAATATGCCTAGTGTATTAAATATATAGATAATCAACCAGCTTTTAGTTAAAACTAATTATATTGCACTAAAACAAACTTAAAATTTTAAAGACTGCTCAAAAAATAAATCAGAACATTTTACCATGTATATTTAAATAGTGTGTCACTTTTTTTCTAAGAAACTGAAACCTTAAACTAAAATTATGGCTTCGACATTCCCTAGTTCTCAAAACTATCTTTCTTTCAACACTAAAATCATGAAAATCCGTCAAGTGGTTGATTCAGAATCGTGAAATAAAAAAAACCCTGTCACGTTTTGTTTTAACCCTTTTGGTGCTGATAATTATTTTTTATGATTTTCAAAAACTGCTAGCATATTTTAATACTAGCGCACCTAGACTGCTAAGGCAAAAATGACAATTTTGTAGATATTAAAAAAAAAATCATAACTCACTTATAAATCAAGATATTGGCCTGAAATTTGTTTTCACTAGTTGAATACATAATGCTCTAACTAAAAAAAATAGTTTTGAATAAAATTTCAAACTAATAATTATATGTATATAAGTATATATTTGTGTATATGTAAATTTAAAAAAAAAATGACTTTGAGACATAAAAACATTCCTAAAATAAAAGGTCGTGATGCCAAATGAAAATTCATTTCCTATAAATACACATTGTTGTCAATAACTCCTGAAAATTTCAAGTAAATAGGTATATTTTCACAAAAGTAAAAAAAAAATATTTATTTACATATTGGTGATTTTGCTTGGGAACCACAAAGTAGGTGTACACTCTCTGGCACCGATGAAAATTGTAGGCATGTCAAAATTTAGGTCTTTACATGCCTAAATGTCTATTTCAGAAGATATTTACATTATTTACAAATTGTCTCACATTTTAGTTGCACACATGATTTATTAGGCACTCCGGGTGTACCCCAGCGTTACACCGAACACACACAGTACGCGAACGCCTATTTTTACCATCAGGATTGTTAGTGCCAGAACAGGCTTTACAAATTCTCTCTTTTCTCTCTGGTAACTTTCTGAGTCCAAATCCATGTTGGGGAACATCTCTATTTTGGGGGCCATCTCCACCACCACGACCATCATCGGGAACACATTTGCTAGCCAGCTACTCATTAGATAGCTCTTCTATGATGTTTCGCATGAAGTCAGATCTTTCTAGTTTGCATTCGGTGGTGTTCAACTTGTATAGGATGTATGAGTTGA